GGCATACGATGACGCACAGAGCGATAACGTGTCCCACACACTGTACCATTGATTATACCAGCAATAATTTTCGCCTTAGCGCCATTTCTCTCATCTGCTAGTTCTTATTTTTATAAACGTGGGGTGTGCGATAGACTTACCTCCACGCGGTGCACCCTGGGCAACGTATACTCATACGGCAAAAAAGTCTATTAACCGGCAGTTGACTTCTGACTCCAAAATACCATGGCCCGACTGATTGTCATATTCGACCCCTTCTACAGTACTCATCTTACCTTTTCCCTACCTTTGTGTCTGTCTGCCTCTTTTACATCTGTGAATCGCCCTTCTGTTCCCCACCCCTCGACTTTCTGCTACTTTGATGAACCTTCTCTCTGTGAAGACCGAAGTCAGCTAAATGGTTAATGATAGCTATCAAAACGCCTGCCATTTGAAAACAACAACAATTTTTATAAACGTTCAAATTCTCACCTTGTCGAAACCCTAGTTTCGCATACCATCATTTTGTGATAGATTTATCTGATAATTTTGGCATTAAAACAAGTTCTTAATTAATCAAAGATAAGCATTACGATAACAGTGAGAAAATGTAATTTCATAATTAATTCAGTGAGTTGCAATAACTCTTGTCCGGAAAGACATGCAATTTCAACCTTACAGGAGCCATATTAATGTTAAATTAATCAATCGCACAGATTTAAAATTGAGAATAGGTCAGTTCAGAGGTCATAGACTTCAAGCACGTCGATGGGCTACAATAACCCAGACGGCTAGTCAGAGTTTTTAATTTATGGAATACGATTTTCCCATAATTGGGCTTCCTCAGTATCGCTGACCCAAAGTCCAGGTTCACCTTCTCTCTTACTACTTACGACGACAAGCTACGAAATTGCACAAAGGTGGGTCATTTAAACTTAAACACTGATTCTATACCCGCACTAATAAATTTCAACTACTAATATTATAGATAAGTAGCCAATTAGAAACATATGCGTATTTTATTTGCATCAACAAAAGAGTGAGAATAGCCTAACTACCAGCATACATGTCTTCTTGTTTTCTCAAATATCACTCATAATAAGAATAATGGATCAGATAGGCAGGGACAAAAAATGACCTTAACTTCTCAGCAAAAAAAGGAAGGGTTAGAGACAGATTCACAGAGGCGATAGGAAGGACAATCCGTTACACGTATGTTAAATAAAACCGGTTTCGAAAAAGAAGCACATGCGTAGAAGGCAAAATCAGAAGTGTGGAGACAAGGAAATCTGTTCTGGCAAAAGAAGAAGATAAGCAACCCAGCAAGAATAGGAGGAGTGTAGAGAAAGAAGAAGCAGAAATCGAAACCCGAAAGAAAAACGGCCAAGTTCAGTGCCTGTATAGGGGGAAAGGTGTTTGTTTTATTTTGTTTAAATCTATTTGACATGATTGTATACTTTCGATGATAAAAAGGCGGGGAATAGAAATTTGTCTTCTCTCTCTCTCTCTCAGTGTCAGCTTCGGCCTTCCTCCCCGACCACAATCGTTCGATTTAACCTCTCAACTTCGTTTTGAAGGCCATCCAGTACTACTTGTTCAGTTTTAATTTGTGCGCGAGACGGCTCGCCCTGCAAACGCACAAAAACAACAGCGTAAATCGACCAAACAACATTTCGTGGGTATTTCAATAGATTAGATCATTACTTCAATTTGAGATGAAACCATTGGAGCTTGAGTTGAAGAAGCACTGCCTTCAAAGCCAACCTCGTCAGGTAGATGACTGAAGATCGGATCCTTGTTTCGAATCAAGTGTGACATTCGATCGGTTTGCTCCTTAATAGCACGTACAGCGGCCTGTGAAAATGGACACATGCACAGTTAATCAATTAAAATAGGAAACTTTGCGACACACACATACATACACACACACACAGAGGCTGAACAAAGTGCGCTTAAGCGCCGGACTTTGAGAGTAAACAGGGGTCGTGCATTTCCGTTAGGCTGCAATTGTTTATGCCAACGTTCTATAAACCAGCGAGACAAACTAGCTAACTTTCATATCCTGTTTTAAATTGAACTGCATAGCGTCACATTGTTTATGTGTCGATATTGCTAGATCCACTGTCAAATCACACAGAGTGGTCATAATGCATTGAATTAGGCATATTGTATGGACTTGCCTGTACAGATGCCAAGTTAGTTGCGGAGATTTGAGGATTAGATTGCACAGCACAAAGAATTTCTCCACTAGCTGATGCCACCTGCCGAACAGCATTGAGAAGTCGGTGTCTGGAAGGCATGACACGGGTTGGATCATCCACAGGGGCCGTGTAGGGACCTTCAGATCGGGTCTCAGCGCAAAGACGCGATAAATCGGATAGTTGTTCTATTGCCAACGCGACAGAGAGATTCTAAAGTCAGAATTAACTTAATTTACCATCTTCTCAAAGCTAAAGAGGAAGAATTGAGAAAAATGCTTACTAATCGGCCGAGATTAGTCGACTCTCGAGAAGCTAGTGCTAATTGGACTCTATGAACAAATTCTCGTGCAGCTAATGTAGTTGATCGAGCCATGTTCAATATAGGTTGCGTATGAACCGCGATATCTTGATTGAACGGTTCTTGCTTGCCCTACAAAAAAGGGATAATATTTAGCAAAGCAATGACCACCCACCGATTTCTTCAATAGAAAACTAGATAAAAATTTCAATATACCCCCTTTAAGCTACTGTCTCAAACCAGCCGAAACTGTTAGAATGAGGCACTTTTTTTTCTATTTACGACTAAAATTAGTGAACGACTATTAAAAAAGAAAAGTTGTTATTCTTTTGGGGTTACGACGGTCTGAGCCACACAATAGGAATATGTTCGGTCACTGGTGTTTAAGTTAAATAGGCAGCACCAAGTAACCCAAACATATCTCATTGATATTAGCCCGATCCCAAAATCAATAATCAATAATCATTCACTTTTGCGCGAACCTTGTTGAGATCCGATTCCAGCAGACTCAGAGCGATATCGATCCGTTGAATTGCTTCAATGGCAGCTTCTGCACCGCTCATAAGAAAACCCTTCGAGTCTAATTGAGTTTGAAGGCAGCTAGAACGAATGCTAACAGATTTGCCAAATCCATCTGAAAATGTGTGGCGAAATGGCTTATTAACAAATAGAAGTTTACAACTATCATAAACATCGTCATAATCTAACATTACTTTGTTCTGTGCATGACTCGTAGTGATTATGGAAAGCAATATGTCGACCCAAGTACTTTTCAGCCACATCCCGCCCTAGAAATACAGAAAAATATCCGATTATTTTCAAATAGCCAAAATAAAATGTGATGATTGCCGAAATATAGCACTTACATTCGGGACTATTGACGCGGAAGTACATGACTAACCGAGGGCTATCTACAAATAACAAAACAAAAATGTTGGACTAATTAGGAGGGGGGGGGGGTTATCAAAGGAGTTTACGAACCTCGCATCTTATCAATTAGTCGCATTAATTGACTTGATAGCGCGCCGATCTTAGCCGCTGAATTTGATACCCGAGAAGAGTCTTTTGCATTTTCACCAGCAATAGCCTGAAAAATAAAAAAAATGGTAAATTTAAAGGAATTAACTAGTAAAATATATTTAGAAATACAAACCCCTTTGACAGAATCCATAAGCTCCGAAGTTTCTAGAACGATCTTCTTCACTATGTCTCCACTTTGCTTTCGGAATTCCTCTTTGATCTCTTGCTGCTTTTGAAGGTTCTAAAACCATAAAATTTCGCGTAGACGCCATAATGCACCACCGAAACTGTTTAACGAAGAATCTCTTTTATATTCCATCTAATCCAGCTGTGTGCAACGTCTATTGGCTAGAAGTTAACCAATAAAAATCAACCTCTAGCGTTAAACAACTACTTGAGATGCACTTTCATATATAAACAGCGTCTAATTTGCAGGTGTTGGAGATAAACTTACCGCCTGTTAGGTTTTGATGGGGCATACTTTGACAATAAGCAAACGCTTAATTCTGTCTGATTAGCGGCGTGCGCTCAGTTGGAGAGCATAAATCATATATAGTACCACCTCCCCCCAAACGTCCTCTAAATGACAATTATTTGTATGACTAGGCTCTGTGTTGTTCTAAAAGCGATTAAATAGTCTAAACAAAGAAATCAATTATGACTGCTTCTACTAAACGTACTTTGCACGTGTTGACTAAGTCAAGCATAGCATGACGGGCAGTATTTGCGCAGACAAGAGCGTCATCTTGTCTTCGTGTGGAAGCAGCTGTCACAGCCTTGTCAACAATTGCTCGTAGAGGGCCTTCAGTTGCACGCGCTAACTCATCAGGCGTCAAGTACCTGGAGACGAGACTAGAAGTAGTAGACATTAGCGTTGTCGCACTTCCTAGATCATTAAAACTTGGAGCACTATTCGGCATTCGATTAGCCAGCTGACGACAAAGATGAGCTGTTGAGATTAAAGCCTTCGTTCCACGATTCGCTTCCATATCTATTGCATCTACTGCCTTCAAGAGACGATTTGAGCATGTTCCAACCTCCTGATTAAAAGCAGATCAAGTTAAACAAAGCCATTGACAAGATTAAAAAGTGCTAAATGGGCCTACATTCTCGTAAGTTTTAACCTCCTTGAAGACCGGATCTTTCTTTGATTTGCTTTGAACTTGAGCAGCTGTGAGAAGAGTGTTTCTGAGAGCCACAGCAGTATCTTTCGCGGCACTGAGAATTTGCACCTGGAGAAACAATCATTCGATAAGGCTAATCGACAGAAAGTGGGAGAAAAGAGATAGAGCACTGATCCTGAGAGAGAACAACAAATCTCCACGTGCTTTAGACTAAATGATCAAAGTTATCATGTAGGGTTGATGATGAGAGAGCGAAAGTCATGCCTACTAAACAGGGTGGGGTGGGGTAGGGGGGGGGG